TTCCCCCTCTGCCAGTGTGGTCGGTTGTACCAACAGCAGAGTCATTTCTGCTTCCCTAAACATAGCTAATCTCAAGCTGACTTCTGGGCTCGCGATCCCGTGTCCTAGGGCTGGTAGGGTTAGACACCTTAAGAGTGGAACGTTGTGTTCATAGCAGGCGTCCCAGGACACGATACCCTCCTCTCAGGGTGTACTCTTGCGGCTCCCTCAGTTGGTGTCACAGTACTGTGGCTTGACTCAGCATGGCCCATAGCTTCTCTGCCTGGCCCGGGCGTGGCTTCGCCTCCCCACCTGCAAAGTGAGGATCCTGAGAACCAGCCCTGCCGAGAACAAACAAGGAGCTGGTCAGACTGCCTAGTCCACAGCTGCCGGCGGGCTCTGCTCTGACCGGCACTGGGTCCTGCTGCTCTGACCGGCACCCCAGGACCCCAGGAGAAGAGCTGCTGAGCCCCAGTGTCTCCTGAGGTCCCTCAGCACTGGCCACACCAGGACCTAGCCTTGGATCCTGCTCAGGCTTGGAATCTTCTAGGTGATCACGAGCCGCAGAGGATGCTGAGCAGTGCTCTGGAGAAATGGGTGTGTCATCAGCTCCAGGGCATTGAGGACTTAAAACAACAAAAAAACTTTATTTATAGTGTGGCAAGATGGCTTGGGGGTAAAGACACTTGTCACAAAGCCTGGGATCCTGAGTGCATTTCCCGGTCCTTTGTGATAGAAGGAGAGAACAGACTCTGGCCTCCACACACACACAGCATGGCATGCATGCATCATCCCCTCCACACACACAATAAATACGTAAAATGTAATGGAAAGCTGCATTTCTTTATAATGAAATTCGTTTGTTATTAATGTGTGTATGTGTGCACACGCACATCTGCAGTGCCCATGTGTGGAAGACGATTTTGTAGAGTTGATTCTCTATATCCACCCTTCTGGGGTTCCAGGCTTGGGAGGCAAGCTCTTTTACCCACGGAGCCATCTTGACACCCCCAATAAAGAATTGTTTCAATGAAAGGAGAAAACAGACTCCAGTATCCATCAGTGAGTGAGCAGCTGCCTAGCTGTGTGACCTTGGGCAAACGTCTAACTTCTCTGGTCCTCAGCCATCTCTCCCTACTCTGTGAGGTAAGAGCACAGTTGCCACTCTGTGGTCACGGTGTCTGGATAAAGAGAAGGCTGCAAAGTCCCAGACAGACCTAAGGCGCTGGTCTGCAGGACCTAGCTGGCTGCTTGTGCCAGCCTCTTCCATCCCATGCCCTGTGGAGTAGGGCTAGAGACGGGGCTTGGAGAATCTCCTTTAAGGGAGCTCCCAAGTTGCGTGGGTAAAGACAGCAGCCCCCAGGGGTAGATGGGTTGTCAATAGCTGTCTGCTCAGTCCTCCCAGCAGGTTCTCAGGTGGAAGACTTCAGGCGCTGGTATTTCATATCTGATATCTTAATTATGTCGCTTGGCTCTGAGTTTGAGAGGATGATGGGAGCTGATGGAGCCGTTTTGTTCTCAAGGGGCAGGAGGGTGGAAGGCTTTAGAGGTGAAAAGGGGTACAAGGAAGCTGCAGGGGGTGTCCTTACATTGAGGCTGACCTCTCTGCAGGATTGGATTGCCTATGGCCGTGGCCCAGATCCCATCTCTGGGCAGAACAGAAACTGGAGGTCACGGCAAAGGTCTTAGAGATCAGCTTGTTCCCAAGATTGCAGAAGGAGAGCCCAGGCTGCCATGGACAAGGGCCCATGTGGGGACACTGATACCTGTCAATCCTTCCTCAAAGACGGAGGGACCAGGCAAGGCCTTCCTCTCCAGGAACTCCACTACAGGTCTCTTGGATGAGCCAGAGTGCTGACGAGTGGGGTGCAGGGACAGAGCGCTTGCCCCTTGGGAGTCAGGGTGGCTTCCTGGGCTTCAGGGGGTCACTGTCTCCCGCTCTGAGCAACATGTTTGCTCAACCGGAAACAGGAACTGCTCCCTCCCCACCAGGAGGACCCTTGCAGGAGAGAGGTGCTGAGTGCAGGCTCAGGGCAGGACCAGGGCTCTGATTCCCAAAGCAAAGGCCCGGAGAGGTCTCCAGGATCTCCAACGCCCTCTAGTGTGTGGAGGGATGTTAGCAACAGATGTGGGGGAGGGGCAGCCCCCCCACTCATTCCTGAGTCCTCCTTGTCCTTCCCAGGTGACTTTGCTCCCCTCTATCACCCACCCACTGCCACCAGCTCCACCTCTGCCCCACGTCTAGATGTCTCCCCTCATCCATACTTTCAGCTGCCGTTTTTCTTCCCTTCACCTTCGAATTCATATGGGCGCTTACTTAAGCAAGCCTGGAGAGGATGTTCGCTTTCTCCTTCCTTTTCTCTGACACTCCATCCCAGAATATTTCTCTCTCATATTTTCTTTCACCCCGCCTGTCACCTGGGTCTTCGGACCACATGTCAATCATTCTTTCGCCATTTTCTATGTCACACTCCTAACTCTTGACTCCCCCTTCTCTCCCTCCTCATCACTGTTTATCCAGTCTCCATCTTTTCCAGTCTCTGCCCCCCTCTGCAGTGGGCCCGCATGTGTCTCTATCACTCTATGTCTGCCCGCGCCCCCCATCACCCCACCCTCTCTGACTCTCTGTCTCTGCCTCCCTCCCCAGGATGATCCCAGCCTCCAACAAGGCCTTCGTGGTCAACAACCTGGTGTCCGGGACGGGCTACGACTTGTGTGTGCTGGCCATGTGGGACGACACAGCCACGACCCTCACAGCCACCAACATTGTGGGCTGTGCTCAGTTCTTCACCAAGGCTGACTACCCACAATGCCAATCTATGCACAGCCAGATCCTGGGGGGCACCATGATTCTGATCATCGGGGGTATCATTGTGGCCACCCTGCTGGTCTTCATCGTCATCCTCATGGTCCGGTACAAGGTTTGCAACCACGACACCCCAGGCAAGATGGCAGCAGCCACTGTCAGCAATGTGTACTCACAGACCAACGGGGCCCAGCCTCCACCTCTGGGTGGCGTATCTGTCGGGCAGCTTCCTCAGGCACCACCCAAGGTTGTGGTGCGTAATGAGCTGATGGACTTCAGTACCAGCCTGGCCAGGGCCTGTGACTCTTCTTCCTCCAGCTCCCTGGGAAGCGGGGAAGCTGCAGGCCTGAGCCGGGGTCCCTGGAGGCTCCCACCCCCTGCTCCTCGCCCCAAGCCCAGCCTGGACCGCTTGATGGGAGCCTTTGCCTCCCTGGACCTCAAGAGTCAAAAGAAAGAAGAACTTCTAGACTCCAGGACTCCAGCAGGCAGAGGGGCAGGGACGGCGGCCAGGGGCCACCATTCAGACCGAGAGCCACTCCTGGGGCCCCCGGCCACCCGTGCCAGGAGCCTTCTCCCTTTGCCCCTGGAGGGCAAGGCCAAAAGAAGCCACTCTTTTGACATGGGAGACTTCTCAGCTGCAGCCGCAGCTGCTCCTGGTGGCTACAGCCCCCCTAGGCGGGTCTCAAACATCTGGACGAAGCGCAGCCTGTCTGTCAATGGCATGCTCTTACCCTTTGAGGAGAGTGACCTGGTGGGAGCCCGGGGGACATTTGGCAGCTCAGAGTGGGTAATGGAAAGTACTGTGTAGCCGGGGCAGGATCACCCTTCCTCCCATTCTCAGTGGGAGAGGAAGGGGACAGAGTCAGCACTGGAGATTGTTTGTGGAGTTTCCATGGTGATGTTTACATCCAGGGACAGTCTTGTCTCCCTGTCAGCCTCATGTCCTTCTGCCCAGCTGCACCCTTTCCCCACGTCACCTTCCCAGGCCTGTCCCCACCACCCAGCGGGGTGTGCTCAGGGAATGGGACTCGCTCAAGTGTCAGACTGAGCCCTGAGTGTTTGGAGAGGCCACACACTGCCTCTCTATTCACAAATGTAGCGACAAGCAAGCGGCTTCGGATTGCTCATGGATCCAGTGTTGTTTTGATTTCTTAATTTATTTTTCCATTTCCCAGACTCCTCTTCGTTCTTCTGGATAATCGAGAGTGTCCTCCACTTGTGAAAGTGTGTTCCCAGCAGGCAGGAGGGATGGGGTGAGGGTGGGGTGGGAGTCAACAAGACTCTCGCTCGGTGTTCTGTTGAACCCCCTGACCAGAGACCCCATAACCCTTCCCCAGCCCTATAGCCTGCCCTGGGTGTGTGAATGACCCAGTTTTCTGTTTCCCAGACACGACACCCACACTCAGCAGAACAGACTGAGTTAGAAAGTTAACCCCAAGCTACAGGGAGGCCTGAGAAAGGGCTTTGTGGCGGGGGGTGGGGGAGTGGAAGGGATCTTACTTTGAGGATGTGGCCCCTTTTCCTGGGAATCTGCATGACCTGTGCTGATCAAAAGGACTCTAGGTAAAGCAGATGAGGCATTAGGGGGGCACCTTAGACTATCAGGCTGGTTTCTGGAACCATGAGAATAGGCCACTGGATGACATGGAAAAGGCTGCCTCTCTCTTTGGACCACCTGGCAAAGCCCTTGGAAGGTTCTGGAAGGCTTCCAAAGATGAACTAGCCCTTCACAATTCTAGGTGATAACCTGAGTGAAACACAAGCCTCTGGGGCTGTCCCTACCCTCCCATGGCACAACGGGAATATGCTAGAAGTTTGAAGCAGACGCTGAATCCTCTTTAAAACATTCTTCCAGAGAGCTTGGGAGGATCTGGGATCAACCCATCCTTAAATTGTCCTCCCTCTCCCCGGAGCACAGCGCTTGCCTAATGTGACCAAGCCAGAGCAGAGGCCAAGGCTACCTACCTCCTGGGGAGGTTTTTCTACTCCATGATCCTGTCTTCCCCCCAATTAGGGTAGTTCTGTGCAGTTTGTACCTTTCATGTTCCTTAAGGTGATGGATCAAGGTGCTCACGGCAGGGTGAGGGGTGCCTTCTCATGGTTCCCTGTGGAGTATTTGTCCACGGAGGTAATGGAATAGGAGCAGAAGGCCATCTTGGCTCATGCACGTCTGGGCGTGAACCCCGCCCCTCCTCCCACACATCTGGGGACAGCTGCTTTAGACAAAGCACCAGCCTGCCCAGCCTGCCTCTGTCATGCCTTGGCTCTGTCTCCTGCCTGCCAGCTCTCTCCTCAGAGCCAAACACTACCTCTCCCTCTTCTCTGTCTTCCTAACTCAATCATTCGGTCTAGCCTGTACTCCCTTCTTCTACATGCCAGTCACATGGCCTACAAAGCAGAACAGTGAGAAAGTTCTGAGGGATTCAGGGCTGGTGCTGAGCTGCTGGGCCTCAAGCCCCGCCAAGCACACACAGCGGTGACACTGTCTCTGCAGGTGACGCTGTGGCCCGGCCATGCCTGCACCCTCTTTCCTCCCTCCTTTCTCTTCTCCGTGCCCTGCTGCTGCCCCCTTTCCTGCCTGTCCTCTGTCTTCCCACAAATCATTTGCCAGTTCTGATAAACTCACCCGAACACCAGATTCGTATCTCCAGAAACCAAAATCCATTTTCCACACCAGCCTAGGCACCATGGGCTGTCTCTTCTGTCATACTAACCCACTGAAAGGACATTTCTAGGGCCAGGGGTATAGCGCAGTTGGTAGAGTGCCTGCCTAGCATGCACAAAGCCCTGGGTTTGATTCTCAGCACTGAGAGAACTGGACACGGTGGTGTATGTCTACAACCCCAGCACTTGGAAGGTGGATGCAGGAGAATCCCAAATTTGAGGTCACCCTTTGCTACACGATCAGTTTGAGCTAGCCTGGGCTATACAAGACCCTGCTTCAAAACAAAACGCCCCTGAAATGAACTTCTTTTCCTCCCTGCTCCAATCTCCCACTGCACACTTCCCACCCATCCTGTTCGAGTGATCCACAGAGGAAGTGGTCCCAAAGGCCACCTTCCTTCTCGCCTTCGGATGGGAAAGGGAGGAACCGACCCACTGTCTCTTCTGGTCAGGACTCAGAGCCATGGTGGCATGACATGTAGTTGCTTTTGTGTCCTTGTGTTTCTGACTCGGCTGGGGGAGCAATGCCCCCCCGGGGGGGCTCAGAATGTAAGCGTCCATCTTCTCCTCTAACAAAAGTCGAGTAAAATGCACACTTTTCAAAAACAACCACACCACATTGCCTGGAAGGGGAGGAAAAGGAATCTTCTCACGTCTGTGGATGTCCGCTGTTCATTTCTCTGGAAACTCTTGGTTTTCTAAAGATGCCGTTGAAGTAACATTTTTCCCTTGCACCTGCGTTTGTGTTTCCTGCCAAGTTCATGTACAAGGTATGGGTGTCTCCTGACATGCAGAGAGGACCTGTACCCCTGGAACAAAGATAGAAGACTTGCCCAAGAAGGGAGAGGCCTATCCTCAGCCTCTCCTGGTGTCTCTCTAGTCACCTCTGGCCATGATGAACCAACTCTACCAGCCTGAGCCAGCTCCTTTATTTCCTGGACCTCGGCTGGTGCCTTACAGGGCCATGGAAACATAGGTGCCTTCCCATCATTTTGGCTGAGCCCCAGATAACACTATTTATCAAAAGCCAGCCTGCAGTCATAGCACTGGGAGTAGAGGCAAGGGGGCCAGGAGTTCGAGGTCACCTTGGCTACACAGTGAATTGTAAGCCAATCCAACCTACTTGACACCTTGATTACAATAAGGGGGGAGTAGGAGCTGGAGAGGTGACTTAGCAGTAAGAGTATTTGCTGTTCTTGCAAAGGAGCAGAGCTTGGTTCCCAGCACCCATATCAGGAAGCTCACAACCACCTGTAACTCCAGCTCCAGGGAATCCAACACTTTCTTTCTGGCCTTCATGGGCACCCACACACTCATGGCATTCACTCACACAGACACATACACATATACATTTTTAAATGCCTTGCAAAGTAAAAATAATAAGTACATAAAATTTATAAAAAAACAAAGTCAAAAAGCCAGTGAGTCCCTGGCACACAGCCTCTGAGTCTGTCTTCAGGCATCGTCTGGCAGGGCAGGGCAGGGCCACCCAGCAGAAGTGAAATGGGAGACCCACTCTAATGTGGATTTTCTTATAGCTACCGTGAACTAAGTATGAACAGGTAAAACTGATATCAGTAAGATGCTTTATTCTAGTCTGTACATCTAAAATGCCCTTACAACAAGCAGCCTCTATGAAATTAGGAAAGATACTGTACATAATCTGGTGTATAGTCTTGGACCGACCACCTTTAAAGGACTTGAGTCCCACTTGGGGCTAGTTCAGACCAGCATATTGGACAGTGTGATTCTAGACATATAAGGGGCTTAGAGGCACAGCTTCTGGGAGGCGAGAGAAGTAAGTGTCTGCTGAATGTCTGTGGGATCCTACAGTTTCCAGGTACAGTGCCTCATGTGTCACTGGAGTGCCTTACTATGTTGTCTCCATGTTCTGTCACGGTAGGTGATAGCACAGGGAAGCCCTCAATGCTCAGAAGGGTTAAGGAACCTGTCCAAGGTCACATGAGAAGTCTGACTGTGAAACCTGAGCTCTTTCCAGCACACACCCCTGACACCCACCTCATGCAGTTTTCCTCCTTTCCTCCAGGTACTGAACAACAACACAGCTTCTCAGACACATAATTTCTCTGTGGAGCCTTTGACTGGGTCTCAGCTCTGACAGACTCTGAGGCATTGACTCCAGACTTAAAGCCATGGTTAAATGTTCATGCTGACCTCACTTTGGGCTTTCTGGGCTGTCTTAGTTAAGGTTTCTATTGCAGTGAAGAGACGCCACGACCATGGCAGCTCTTAGAAAGTAAAACATTTAATTGGGGTGGCTCACTTACAGTTTCAGAGGTTCAGTCCACTGTCATGGTGGAGGACATGGTGGCACACAGGCAGGTGTGGTGCTGGAGGAATAGCTGAGAGTCCTACATCTTGCAGGCAACAAGGAAGTCAACTGAGACACTGGGTGGTATCTTGAGCATAAGAAACCTCAAAGCCCGCCCTCACAGTGACACACTTCCTCCAACAAAGCCACACCTCCTAATAGTGTCATGCCCTATGAGATTATGGGGGCCAATGACATTCCAGCTACCACATGGACTTTACTGTATTTGCAGCACATGCTTTCCCATGGCCAGCAGATATCTATGAATCATACTATGCTGCCCAGCTCAATCTGTGATCACCTCCTTCTCCCCCTGGGGGACTTCCAGGAAGCCCAGTGGCTAGCCAGCCTCTTCTGGTCCCTTCTGCTTATAGCTTGTTTGCCTGAATGTACAAATCCCCACACCAGCATGTGACCACAACCAAACCCACCTTCTTACTCCTTTTAGTCCCAAAGCCTCGTTCTCCTCGAGAAGCTACTTACTGTCAAGGTCTACCTTCCCATAGAGAAATACCTTTTGGTCAGCCAAAAGGTATTTTGGCTGATAGTAGAACCCCCAGCTGATTGTCAAACTTTTTGTCAAAATGCTAAACCCACCTCTCCACAGTCCTGGTATTGACACACCCTTGGATTTCCCTCGGAGGGAATATTTTTTGTTCGCCCAATATAAATACTGAAATTCCAAAAGACATGCTTTTTTCAAACGATGTCCTTTTTTGTTAAGTAATTGAAAATGTCCAGATGTCAGGCTCCCATTTCTTGCATAGAGAGGAACTGCCCCCAGAGTCTGGAACAGAGTTTTCCATAAGTCTCGATGTGCTTTCTGTCCACGTCTCAGGCAGGCTTTGAGTGGGCCTCCTCTGTCTTCTTCCTATTGCCCTTGAGAATTTTGCAAGCTGCAGCTGGAGGTGTGAACTGGCTGGTTCAAAAGAAAGATGGGAGGCAGGCAGCAGTCAAAACCTGACCATGCTCGAAATATCACACCTAGATTCCCACACGCAGACGTTCTGTACCACGCGCCTGGCAGAGGCAAGGGTTTGTTGTGACAAGAAAACTTTTCACAGATAAACACCTGAGCTTCTCAAGTCTTCAGAACAGAGCTAGAGCCTTCCCTGTTCTCCTAACATCTGCAGGAACAATGCCCCTTCGCAGTTTAAAAGTTTCTCTGTGTGTTTCACATTGTAGATTCTCGGCTTCCACCACCTTAGGGATGACTCTCCCTTTCCTCATCGGGTACCTTCTACAACAAAGCTCTTGGGGTTCCTTCCTGGCAACTTCTAGCTGAAGGCAATAACCTTTCCCCCAGACTGAAGAGCAGAGTCAGCCTTTGCCTCCCGTGCTAGTTACGCAAGCATCTTGAGGAAGGGGGGTTGTCAGCTCATGAGCTAATGGGGTACAGTCCATCATGGAGGTGAAGGCGTGGTCACAGGGCATCCAGTCAGGAAGCAGGAAGATGGGTGCTGGTTTCCAGCTCTTCCTTCAGTCTAGGATCCCAGCCTGTGGAATGGTGCCACCCACACTTAAGGTGAGGCTTCCTTCCTCAGCTCAATTTCTCTGGAAATAGCTCACAGATATGCCCAGAGCCATATTGCCTAGGGGACTCTGTATCCCACCAAGCTGACCATCGGTATTAACGATAACAGCTATGTTTCTGAGTCCCCACCACTGCCATGGTAGATCATCTGATACCATGATAACCTTGTCCCTGTCCTCAATTTATGTGACATCTGGCAACTGTCTTCTGATCATCACTCAGGGGAAGTGGAGCCAGGTTACGGGCTCTTCCTTGATTTTGCTACTGTTTTTAACGAGATTATTGATGTTACAGTTCCTCGAACCTCCAACCAAATGTGCTGCTGACCTATCAGAGTCAGCGTTCTTCTCTACCCACCGGTGACATCTGGGAGTAGGGCAGGAGAATCTCAACACCTGATCTTGGAAACACCAGGGGATCCCACAGCTACATGCTGACTCCTCTGATGATGGGAAGGAATCTGGGACTACAACCGTCCCCACAGGATTCCCTTTGCCCATCTGGTCCTTAGCCATTCAGCCCACTGGCCAGCCTCCCGTTGCCCCAGGCTCTCCATTCAGGCTGTCCATCTGGAGAGCAGAGGTGAACACACTCTGTCTGACTTCTTACCTCCTCTGTAATTGTTCATTTATGCTCCCTGGAGCACCTCATAGTGACTCTTAACATTTATAGATGTTGCAATGGTTAGTTTTATTTTCTTTGGATGCCCCTGACAACTTCCAAGATGTCCCCTTTCCCCAAGCCATCCCAGTCCGGCTACTTGCGTTAACTGGCCTGCCTGATGCCTCAGGGCAGCACTGCTTTCCTGTTATACAAGGCCTCAGGTGCCCATTCCTGTTCCCTCCAGCAGGGTGTGTTCCACACACCTTGCTGTTTGAGAAGGAACTCAGCCGGAGTGGAGAGATGGCTCAGGGGTCAGATTGTTCACCATGACAGCTGGAGGCGCTGAGTTCGGATCCTCAGCACCTGTGTAAAAGCCAAGCATGGAGGTGAATGTCTGTAACCCTGGTGGAGGGCCTTGGAGACAGAAGGATTCCCTAGAATTCACTGGCCCTCCAGCTCAGCTGAAAAACCCGAGGCTCCAGATTCACTGAGAGACCCTGTCA